CTACTTATCTAAATACATTGACAAGTGTAGTTTTTTTAGACAAAACCTGGCAGGGATTGAGTTCTTCCATGTATGAGTAAAATTTGAACATCACATACTTCTTTGATTAGAAAATTAGATTTCAAAACAGCAATGCATGACTGGATACGTAGTAGTGAAAACTTAGTCAATGAATGGCTGATGATCAGTTAGTGATTGCCAGCAACAAATGAAAGCAAAAATGAAAGAGATTTTTTAGAACTTGTTCTCACACAAAGCTAGATCAAAGAAAGCTTAGAAGAAAGAACTCCCGTGTGCTGAGAGTTTTGGAGACACATTAAAAATTAATTCAAAAATACTTATACTTGAGATATTGATGGAATAGCTGAAAACTAATTATGCAAATCAGAAAATTAACATGAACAGATTTGATTGTAAAACTAATGAGGTCTGCGCAATGTAACAAAAACTCTATGTACCAAGTTTAATTGAAATGTGATTAGAACCAAAAAATTATGAATTATTATGCTAATTAGGAAAATAATATGAACAGAGTTTTACCCCAAACTAATTAGGTTTGTACATTGTCCTAGAGCATCTTTGTACTAAGTTTCATTAAAATGGAAATTAGTACTTTAGATATCAGTGTGAAAGCTTAAAATTGGTTAATTATGCAAATTGGGTAATTAATATGTACAGATTTTAACCCACAATTATCCAGGTCTGTCTATTGTCCTACAGCATCCATGTATAAACATTCATTGATATGTGATGATTAATACCCGAGATATCAGTGTGAAAGTTGGAAATTGGTTAATTATGCAAATTAGGTGATTAATATGCACAAATATTTACCAAAAACTAATTGGGTCTCTGCATAATTCTAGATTCAATGAAATGTGATGATTAGTACTTTAGATATCAGTAGAAAAGCTGAAAATTAATTATGCAAATTAGGTAATTAATATGCACAATTATTTACCCTGAAATTAATCAGGTGTCTGCATAGTCCTCGAGTATGTAAGTACCAAGTTTCATTGAAATGTAATGCTCACTACTTATATCAAAAGCTGAAAATTAATTAATTATGCAAATTAGGTAATTATATGTACTGATATTACCATAAAAACTATCAGGTCTGTGCAGTGTCATATGACATCTATGTACCAAGTTTCATTGAAATGTGATGATTAGTACTTGAGATATCAGTGGAAAAACTGAAAATTGACTAATCATTATGCAAATTAGGTAATTAGTATCCACGGATTATTACCAAAAACTAATCAAAACCTAGCATTAGTTCAGAGGATCTATGTATCAAGTTTCATCAAAATCCAATGAGTGGTTCTTTAGATATCAGTGGAACAGTCATAGAACAGCTAAAAATTAGCTAATTATCATGCAAATTAGGTAATTAACGAGCATGGATTTTTACCAAAACCTAATCAAATCTGCGCATTGGCCCAGAGCATCTATGCACCAAGTTTCATCAAAAACCGATGTATGGTTCTTGAGATAGCAGTGGAACAGTTGGACACACATACACACATACACACACACACACACACACACACACATACAGACACACTAACTGCAAAGACTCCCATTTTGTGCTTCGCACATGGGAGTCAAAAATTGGGAGGAAAAAAAAAAGACTCCACCTACAAGTAAAAATATACAAAACTGGTTTAATTCTATGAATGGTGGGCAGTGAGTTTATTATTTCATATGAAATCCAAAATAGAACAGCAATCTTTCTTTTTGACATGTACAATTACCAGTCCAGATGTTTCTAGTTAACACCGGATTAAGCTCAGAATTGCAAACTTCAAAATGTACTGTAACATTCAATTTCAATCATTTCCGATGAGGCTCACTGCCATTTCATATTCACAGGGTTGTGAACAGGTCAAGCTACATTCAAAGAATACACAACAAAATAGGCATATGTACTCATCATGGTGAATTAAAATCTGTGAAGTTTTTTGTGTGCATTATTTATGGTAATGCTATCACCATGGTAATCTAAAAGTGAAATACCATAGGGTATTTTTTTTTAATAAATTCACAAGAGGGATGAATCAACGGATAATCTTACTGGATTGGTGATGATTTGGAAAAGGTAATAAAGGGGCAGGTTTCTTGATACTGCATGACATGCAGTAATGAATGGATGAATGTTAATGACCTACTACTGAACTGTTATAAACCAATATGCCTGAAGCACAAGTGATCTAGCTCCTAGGCCCAGAGTTTTCAATTACGTTCACTCTGTGACCCCTTAGGATGGCAGATTTAAACTTCAGAATGAGGAATGGAATAGTATTTTCAAACCAAAACAATCTGAGAATACAACACCTGTTACGCCCCAAATCACTTGACCAATCAATATTTTACAGTTGTTATGATAAACAGACCTTGCATTGTTCTATAAACGAGCAATAAACTTGCAGTTTACAACCCCAAACAAATAAATCATCCATCATTACAAAGTACACAAGTATACAGTTCTATAAAAAAACAAATGTGTTTAAACTCTACTTAGGTAATACAGTTTTATAATGGTATTATATTTTCTGGCCTTCATAAGCCACAGAGTATATAACTGAAACAAAAACGCATGTACTTCAAAACA